CCTGTTATGGAGCTGAAATCTACCTCTCTGTAACTCCTCTCCCCACTGCCCCGCTTCCCCTCGTGCCAGTGCTCTAGTTTTGCCCCTTGGAATCAAGTAGTACAGGGTTTATCCCTCTTATCTCTAACAGCCCTCTGAAACTTGAAGACAGTGATAATAATGGCCCTCATTCTTCTCTTCTCCCAGCTAAACGCCTCCAGTTTCTTTGGCTGATTCTCTCCTTAGTTCATTTCATTGTTCTGGTCACTCTCCTTTCTGATTCCTCAGTGTCTCCCAGAACGAAACCCAACCTTCCAGATGGGCTTTGACCTGGTCAGGGCATAGCAGGAGCATCCCCTCACTTATTCTGGACCCAGCTTCTGTGTTAGGATCATGGTGGCTTTGAAGGTGCCATGACACAGTGTTGATTGGTGTCAAGCTTGCAGTCCACCAAGACCCCCAGGTCCTTTTCACCCTGAATTGCAGTCCTGCCACACACCTTAACTACTCCCTTCTATACTTGTGAAGGTGACTTTTAAGCCTAAGTTCTTTACCCCCTATTAACTTTCACTAGATTACTTTTGGACTTCAGGTCTAACCTGTTGAGATCTTTTCAGACCCTGACCTTATCATCCAGTGTGTTGACTATCCCTTTCAGCATCACACTATCGACACATTTGATAAGCATGCCATTTAGGACTCCATCCAAGTCAGTGATGAAATAGAACAGGGCCAAGGACAGAACTCTGAGGCCTCCAGTACAGACCTCCCTCCAGCTTGACATTGATCCATTAATTTGGAGCTGGTCATCGAATCAATTCTAAGTTTATGTAAGTACACTGTTGTTTCCACATCTTACTAGCTAAGTCACAAAAATAACATGAGAGACTGTGTCAAATACTTTGCTGAAAGCCAGGTCCCCAGCTCTGTCCCCAATTTGATTCCCAGGTCTCTCTGACTCTACCTCCAGTTCCCTCCCTGAACTCTGATCCCAGTTCTGCTTCCAACACACTCCTCAAATCCAGTCTCTAATTCCTTTCCCAAACTCTGTACCCAATACCCTCTGTTCTCTATTCAGTTCTTTTCCTCCTACTTGCCCAGGTCTCTCCCTAATTCTTTTCTACAGTGCTGTGCCCTCCTATCTCTCCCCTACTTTCTCATCATCCCACCTCCTATTTGCCTCAACAACATTTATCCGTTCATCCTCTGACCTGTCTCTCCCTCTCTTTTTCCCTGCCCTAGACACTATGGAATGTACCTGAGGCTTGCAGGGACCTGTCCCAGCTTCACCTGCCCTGGACTACATCAGTCTGATCCCACCAATCCCCACCCTTCTGAGGCCCAGGCTTCCTCCCCAACCTTCAATTCTCAACCCTCAGGGGCCCATACATCTTGATATTCTAGCATAGCCCCACCTTACCCCCTGTCCGGGGCATCATGGTCCCTCAGTGACAGATCCAGATTATGCCCTGTCCTTGCCCCTCTTAGGGTACCAGGGCTTCGGGATTTCCCAACACCTAACTTTCAGGGAGACAGGTATCCCGAGTCCCTTTGAGGACCTAGGCACCAGATCTTCTAGAAGAATACCATACCCTTTCCCCGACCAGGGGAAGTCATTGAGGCAGCTGGTGAGAAGATAGCGAAGAGCTGGGAAGCCCAGTCTGGGCTCTCTCGAGGGAGGTTCCCTGTTCTCTAGCTTGTCATCCCAGCCCAGCGGTCCCGCCCCACCATTAGACCGTTAGATAAGGAGCTCAAACATTCCGAAACAAGTTACTCCCCTACAGCATCTCAAGAAACCAATGCAAGGGGGACCACTGTCCCGTAGCTCTTTCCACAACAGGGGTTAGGATTCCCTGCAGGACTACTGTACTTGCCCAGGTACCCAGGAGTCTTAATCTCCCGCCGGAACTTCCTCAGGAGCCCAGACGTTCTGCTCCAGGGCTTCCTCCTGAATCGTAGGCTGCCTGATCATTCTGCCTGCTCCGAGGCCCAAGCGTTCTGAGCCCAAGCCCGTGCCTCAGGGTCTGGGCCCCCACTTACCTGGCATTGACCAAACCACAGCATCTCGGCGTGCAGCACCATCAGCCCGATTCCCGCTCCAGCCACTGCCAGAGCCCAGCCTGCCAGGCTCTTCTCCTCCTCCAGCAGCCGCTTCCGCCGCCTCAGGGCTCCTAGTCCTGGTACCAGCTCCATGGGTCTGGGGGCCTTGGGGCCGGGGGCACCCCGCGCCCAGGGCCCTGCGCTGCCCCCACCCAGGGCGCAGAGCGTCGCCAGGGCTGGCTCGGGAGCTAGCTGGGAGCTAGGTAAGAAGCCAGCGGGGAGTCCTAGAGCCCGGGAGGGACCCAGAGAGCTGGAGGCGCAGCCAAAAAGCCTGGGAGGGAACTGGGTGGTGGTGGTGGGGGGGCGGGGACTCGGAGCACGAGGGCTCCAGAAAGAGCCGGAGAAAGTTTAGCGAGAGCGCCGAGAGTGCTCAGAAACAACTCAGAGAGAGCCTAGCAAGAGTCCAGAGAGAGACCAGAGACCACTCAGAGGCATCTCAGAGAGACCCCAAGGACTGCTCAGAGACAGTAAGAGAGAATCAAGAGACACTTCGGAGAGACAGCCTAGAAAAAGCACAGAATCAAGGAAGGCGCCAGACAGAGGGTGCTTGGTCGGAAAGCAACTGCAAATGAGCGCCGTCCGGTGATTGGGGCCAGTGCCGTATCTGTACTCTGTACCAGCCAGAGGCTGAGACCTACAGGGCAGGGAGGCAGGGAGGGAGGGGCCTGACCTAACTATAGCTGGTGGCTGCCAGAGAGGGAGGGGACAAGGTGGGGCTGAGGGTGACCTCCCCGCCTCCCTCTCTCCCCTGGCCAGGAAAGTGCCAGGGGGTGGTGGAGGCAGAGAGGAGGAGGCAGAAAGTCTCAGCCTCATTTCACATTGGGCCCCCACACACTCAGAGTCAACTTCAGAGCAGAACCATAGAACGTTAGAACTGGAAAAAACCCTTGGACCATAGTCTGTCAGATCAATTAGTCGATCAACAAGCATTTATTAAGTGCCTTCTGTGTGCCAGGAACTCTGCTGGGCACTGGGGATACGAAAGCAAAGATTGAAAATGTCTCAATTTAAAAGGACGGCTGGGAACCCCAGAACAAAAAGCATAGAATGTGTGGGCTAGAAAGGATCATGTCAGGCTTGGGAAGAATCTTCGAACACAGAACATCTCTCTAGACTATGGGATCTTTTAAGCTGAAAGGACCTTAAAACCGAATTTCCCAGGGAGGGGTAACCAAAGAACAGAGTGTCAGAGATGGAGGGACCCTTCTGTCCCAGAATGTCAGCTCCTCTTTTAAGCCCCTGTGGTGTTCCCAAGATGATGCTTCTTACTTTTCAGTCATCTTACACATTATTCTCCCCCATCCACATATGCACATTCTATAGTCCAGACATAATGACCTACTTACCGTTTCTCACACATGACTTTCCATTTCCTCTCTGTGCCTTTGCATTGCAGTTGTCCATGTCTGGAACACTCCCCCTCCTACAGTCCACCTCCTAGAACTCTTACTTCCTTCTAGGCTTGGCTTGACAAGCACCTTTTGCATGAAGCCTGTCCTTATCATCCAGCTACAGTGCCCTCCTTCTCCCTCTCTGTTTCTCTTCTTCCTTTAAAGAGTCTGTATATGTTTTCTGTATAAACATGTGTGCACGTTTTCTTCCTTGTTTGAGGGGAAGCTCCCTAAGGGCTTACAAGAAGTGTTTCATTTTCATCTTTTAATGCCCAATATCTAGCATAGTGCCTGACATACAGCAGGTCTTTAGTAAATGCAAGTTAGTTGATTGATTGGACTATAGGACATCATTTCTAGGAGCAAGGGGAACTTTAGAATTCAGAGTCTTAGAACTGGAAGGAATTTTAGACCTAGAGCTGGAACCAGCACAGGATGACTGGGGCTTTGACTCAGGGTGCAACAAGAGGGGAGGGGGAGTCAGGCTTTTTCCAAAAAGCAGTTAAACCAGTTGGTTTTGATCAGTGCAGGACTGATTAGAGAGGAAATGCTGGCACCCTGGGGGAAGGAAGTTTGACCAAAAGCCTGCCCCACCCTCCACCAAAAAGATTGTCCTTGAAGTCAGGAAGACTTGAATTCAAATCCTGCTTTGGATGTTTATTGACTATGTGACATTAGGCAATGTTACTTCTCTGTGCCTCAGTTTCCTTGTCTGTAAAACCAGGGGCTTGGACTGGATGGCCATTGAGGTCCCTTCCAGCTCTAAAATCCCTGTTCCTTTTTAAACTATCTAAGCTTTAATTCCTCTTCTTCTGGGTGAGTGGGATTAGAGAAAGTGATTTCTAAGGATCCCTTAAACTCTATTCAATAATAAAAGTAACAATAGCCAGCACTTATATAGCACTTTAGGGTTTCAAAGCACTTTACACATGCTATCTCATTTGATCCTCACAACAACCCTTTGAGTGAGGTTATTATTAGCCCCATTTTACATATGAGGAAACTGAGGCAAAAGGTTGAATGATTTGGCCAGGGCCAGTTAGCCAGTAAGTGTCTAAGGTTGGATTTGAAGTCAGAAGAATTTCCTTGGCTTCAAATCCAGTGATCAATTTCTATGATTCCATAACAATAATATGCTTGTGTAGGTACCATCATTATCCTCATTTTACAAATGAGGAAACGGAGACTCAGAGAAGTAACCACCTTGTTGTTATTTGAATTTATTCTGAATATGCTTACATATGTATTTGTAATCTTCCTTGATAGAATATAAGCTCCTAAGTGCATGGATGCTTCCATTCTTTATATTTGTATTCTCCACTTAGTACAGTGCCTGGAACATAGTAGGTACTTAATAATACTTGCTTGTTGATTGACTTACTAACTTATTTGAGTTTCCAAAGCAAATTAGAGACAGAACTGTGACTAGAACCCAGGACTTCTGAGTAGCTGTTTAGGGCCCTTTCCATCACGCTGCACACCCAGCAACACACAAACATAACACATAGCAGCCTACACAGAATGCAATACACCAGCCCCATACAGCCAGGCACAAGGAACATGATACACATAGAGAGACACACCCAGCAACACACAAACACAACACCCAGAATGACACAACACACACACACATAAATGCCCTCTCCCTGCCCATCTCCCATCCGCTGGGGAGAGATGCCCACTCACTGGGCAGGATCTCAGGAGCCACACAGACATGTCCAGTCTCCCACATGCACACATATACACATACTCACAAGTACAGGCACAGAAACTCCCGCTCAAAGCCTCACCTACTCAGAAACACAGCAAAGATACTTAAATGCACATAAATCTCTGTTTCTGCCTCTGTTTCTCTTCCTCTGACACCTCATAAGCTCTCTATGGAGAAAGCCATAGTCCAGGCACACACAGAAATTGGGGGAGAGAGCAGCCACAGAGAGACACAGACAAAACTGCAGAGAAATGAATCCAGAGACCAGATAGAGAGACAATGAGAAACACTGATTGAGGAACAGTTAAAGAGTTGGGGGGGGGGGGGGAACATATGCAAAGAGAGAAAGACCAGGAAGAGTCCAAGAGAAAAAGGAAGAGCAGAAGCTGAAGTAATATCTTGTTCCTCCTAGTTCTGACATTCTATATTCTGAGGTTCCTTCCAGGTCTGACATTCTATGTTCCATGATCCTTTCCAGCTTGGACATTCTTTTCTAAGCCTCCCTCCCATCCCACCCCAGGTCCTTTTAGTAGGTGGATTTGAATTCCACCTCAGATATTAACTGAGTGACCATGAGCAAGTGACTTCACTTAACTTCTCTGGACCTCAGTTTCCTCATTTGCAAAATGAAGGGGATTAAACATCATGACCTCTGATGTCCCATCTAGTTTTAAATCTATGGTACCTTAAACATATGACCCAAACAGACACGGAAAGATAGAGATACTAGAGACGGGGAACAGGCATGTACTTTAGGACATAAACATGTAGAGATAGTGAGGCCAAAGAGATAAGAGACACAGTTAAAGACTAAAGAGAGAGATACAGAGACAAATGGATAGAAACAGTGTGAGGCACAGAGGAGAGACAGAGGCAGTGATAGCGCCCCCTGGGGGCTCTGGAGTGACTGCCCCCCCTTGCCTCCAGGGGCAGGACTTGAGAGGGGGGTGTGTGTGCAGTGACTCAGTCAGCCTCTTCCCGTGACTCAGACAGGGCCTCGCCCCTTGAGAGGGGGGAGAAGGAGGGAACTCTCGCTGCATTGGGGGTACGGGAGTGGGGGTGGGGTGGGCTGAGTCACAGACCACCGCTCAGGGGCTCGGATGCTCGGGTCCTGGCGGGAGTACGGATGCAGAGAATGAGAACACCTGGGTCCTTTTGGAATGAGGCGAGGCGGGGGGAGGACAGGATGGGGACATCATCGTCACCGCGAGTGTTAAGAGCTAGGATCATTGAGTCTCCGATGATGGTTGGTGGGGAGAGAGGGCGACAAGGACGCCCAGGTCCCCAAGGAAGCGCCGGGTCTGGAGGACCCGGACGCTTCGGAGCCTCGGAGGCTTGGACCGGGATTTCCCGTTGGCCAGGGTCCAGCCTTTCCAGAGCAGAAGCGGCCGTATCTCCGGGGCTGGCGGCGACCCAGGGCTGGGACAAAGGAACGTTTGACAGGAGGGGGGTGCAGAAAGATCACGCGGCGCCCGGGGCTCCGGGAGAGGGCGGGCCGAGGCCCCGGGACATCCGGAAAGTGGAGGGGCGAGGGGAGCGTGTCCTGCCCTGCCTCCCCCCTCGGTGTAACCTCTTCTTATGCTGGAGCTCCGCGAATCCTGGTCCTGGAGTCGCCACCTGGTGCCAGTGTAAGGGAGTGCAGACCGAGCCGGACGGAGAAGGAGGGACATCCCTGTCTCCATCTCTTTGCTTTTGCGTGTCCGTTTTGATTTTTCTGCCTCTGTGGTTCTCCTTTCCTTTAGTGTCTCTGTCTGTTTCTACGTCTCTCTGTAGGTCTCTGTCTCTTTGCGGCTCTATCTCTTTCTGTTGGTGTCGGAATCTCTGTCCAGATCTATCAAGTTGTGTCTTTCTCTGGGTCTCCATATCCCTACCTCTCTTTGGATCTTTCTATTAGTTGTTGGGTGGTGGTAATGGTGAGAGGGGGAGTTATACACTTCGACTACTACAGTCTCTACTTCTGCCTTTCTTTGTCCCTTGCCAGCCGCCGGGGGTGAGAGGTGAGGGGTGTGTGTGTGTGTGTGTGTGTGTGTGTGTGTGTGTGTGTGTCTGTCTGTCTGTCTGTCTATCTGTCTGTGTGTACACGAGGGAAGACCTCCCTAAGCCATGCCCTGCTTTAGACCCGCCAGCACCCTGTCACTGTCCCTGGTGCTGAGACTATAGGAGGCAGAAGAACTCTGTCCCCGGTCCTGATGTAGAACCCGACTGGGTGATGTTGAGTGAGTGGAAGGGTGGAGTGGTAGTCATAGACTACAGTTTGATATTATCCTTGGGTACCTGATTGGGCAGGGTCTTAGAAATCAGGACCCCTGAGGCGATCAGGAATACCTGGATTGCCTAGAAACTTTGGCTGGAGAGCCATGAGCCTTGAGTTCTAAATTAGGCTCTGCTCCTCAGTCCATGTGTGACCTAAGGCAAATCTCTTCTCTCTCTTGGCTTAAAATTTTCCATCTGCGAAATGAGAGGATAAACTAGATTATCTCTAAGGGCCCTACCACATTTGACTTTCTCTGTTCGAAGGTATCTCTCAGCTCTTTTCTGAAGTCCCTCCTTGTTCTGATAGTCCATGCTCTTCAGGCCCCTCCCAGCTCTGACATTCTACATTCTTTGACTCAAGTTGTAGGCTCTGGGCTTGTTTTGGCACTCTTCCACTTATCCTTGACCTTGACACATGCCTCCCACTTCTTCAGCCCCAGGGCCCCCTTGTCTGACCCTCCCTGGCCAGCCAATTGCCTTGTGTCACATGCCCCATGGGAAGTGCTGCACTCAATCACAATGATTGATACTCCCAGATCTAAGGTGGGGGCAGACTTGGCATGCTGCCCTGTCACATAGGGTCAATAAGAAGGACATCACTTTACTCAATCAGGGAAAATCAGAGCTGCAAGGAACCTCATTTTACAGACGGAGAAAGCAAGGTGCACCAGCCCTATTTCTAGTCAGGGGCAGATAAAAAGACACGAGGGATCAAAACAAAGAAAGAACAGAGACCTCCATACCCCACCCCAGTATCCCTCAGGGGTCTCAGGAGAGAGTGTGCCCAGGGGTCCAGGCATGTTTCTGTCCCAATTTTGTATTTCAAATCCTGATTCCTCATTACTTTCAGGGATAATTTCTGAAACATATTTGATCAAAACATGCCCTGTTCTTTATCTGAATAACCTTGGTCACATTCTGTTCCCTCTCTAAACCTCAGTTTCCTCAAATGTAACTTGAAGTGGCCTCTGAAGTTCCTTCCAGCTTTACATCTTAAGAATCTAGTGTTTTTTTTGTCTAAGTGAAGGTTCTGTAAATTGAATCTTAATTTGTCATTGCTTTACCAGATAAGCTATGAGATGTGTTCTTGATTGGCCTATATTTGGTGGATTTTTTAGTGCTCAAGAGTCCAGGGGTGGGGACAGGGATTGAACCTGGGATTTTACTGGTCTAGGGAACTCCCAGGTGAGGAAATATCCTCTACCAAGGCAGATGGGCACCTTCTCTTCAATTTACAGTCTTGGAGAATTGAGAGATACCACTAGAAGGAATATTGAGGAGATGGATCAGGCCCTCAGGGAGCCTGGGAGAACATAGCAAGGATTTGCAGAAAGCCTACAGAAGGGAAGACTTTGGGGTGGAGGGCTGGTGATAGAGAGCCCATTTCAAATACCTGAAGGGCTGTCAGGCAGAAGAGGACTAGATGCTCCTGTTTGTCCCCAGAGGCCAGAAATAGGAGCGGAGGGGATGTAGTGGGGTCTGGAGGTGGGGAAGAGAGGATGGGGTGGGGAAATTGCAGAGATGATGACTTCAGGTTGATGTAAAGAAACACTTTTTAATAATTGGCACTGTCCAAAGTGAACCAGATTGCCTAGAGAGAGAATGAGTTCCCCTTCACAGGATATTCACCTGGAGGTGGCAGGAGTGCTTTCGAGGGATTAGCAAAGGGAAGGGTTGAGCTGGGCTGCCTCTGCAGTTTCTTCCAAACTGGTGACTCTCCAGGTATCTCCACTCCTAACCAGGGCTGCCCTGATCCTCCCTCCCCACCCTGCCCAGCAACACACATAAGTACCAGATCCCTTGCCTGAGTGTTTAAGGCTCTCTAAACAGACTGAAAGGCCAAGCTTGGAGGGAAGCCAGGACTTTGTTCAGACCCCTAAGAGTAAGGGGATGATCAGAAGCAGGGGCAGGGCTAGGTGTGAAGGGGCATGAGAGGAAACAGTCTTGGAGACATTGGAGATGCCGTTACAGAGATTCCCCTTACAGCAGGTCCCTTTCAGGTAGTTGTCTGACCAGTGGGTGGCAGCCCCAATGAAAGTGCATGTGGGCTCTTGGCATGTCCTCATGTAGACAGATTTGGTGAAATTTTCTGGGGAGGGAGGAAGGCAGAGATTAGCAGGAAGAATGAGGCTCCTTCCAGGACCAGGGCTCTCTCCCATTCCTACTCACCAATGGCCAAGAAGCCTTGACCCTGGAAGCAAACACTCTGACCCCCATGACACTTGATCTTGTGGGCATTCTGGAGTTCACAGCCCTCAGCAGTGGTACTGACACAGGCCCAGCACTCAGTGCCGCTGAGTTCAGGGGGATCTGGGGCTGGAGAGGAACAGGGGACATTGCCAGGTCAGGGTGGACCCCTGCCTGTGTGTTGGTCCCTGGGTCCTGAAACTGGTGGCTATGCCCACAGGTATCCCCAACTCTGTCTATCAAATATCCTAGGAATAAGTGCCTACTGCAGGCACCTAGAACTACATATTTAGGCCTTGGTTTTCCCATCCTTAAAATGAAGGAGTTGAATTAGATCATCTCTAAGGACCCTCCCAGCTCCATCATTCCCTGTTCTAAGGCCCCTCCCAGCCCTGACATTCCCTGTTCTACGGTCCCTTCCAGCCCTGAAATTCTCTGTTCTAAGGCTCCTTCCAGCTCTGATCTTCCCTGTTCTAAGGCCCCTCCCAGCCTTGACATTCCCTGTTCTAAGGCCCCTCCCAGCCCTGACATTCCCTGTTCTACGGTTCCTCCCAGCCCTGACATCCTGTGGTCTCCCTTCTAAGGGGCCCTCCAGCTCAGTTTGTCAGTATCTGTGTGGATGAACAGTAGGTGTTCAGAGCTCACTCTCTGGGGTGTCTGGAGCCCCTCAGGCTGTTCTGCACTCCCCCCCCGCCCCCCGCTTCACTTCACCTGTGCTGAGGTTGGGGATGCTGTCATGGCTTTCGATCTGGCGGTTGCAGAGATTCTCCTGGCATCGTCGTACCATGGTGTAGTCAGGGGGCAGTGAGTCTCCTCCTGAGGTCATCTCCCCAGAGCCTGGCCCATAAGAGCAGCCCTTTTTCACCAGGGTCAGTGAGTTTCTGTAACCTAGACATGAGGAGGAGGGGAAGGGGAAAGGATATAATTTGGTCTTGGCTTCTCCACCTCATCCTCAAATTTGATCTGCAATCCTACAGTCCTGGCATGATCCCCACAAGCTGTCTCAGTGCCCCACCATCCTGACCCATTTTTTTCTCAGACCTTAACTGACTCCATTTTTATTGCACATCCAGTTCACTTCTCTCTCTCAACTTATGTGACCATTAGTACATCACTCCTTCTCTTTAATATCTACAATCTGGCCCTTAGTTTCCCTATCTTGCCCTTCCCAGAGGACTGGACTAGACAATTTTTAAAATGCCTCCTAGACCTAGCCTTCTCTGTTCTAAGACCTTAAGGGTTTTTCCTTTTCGGAATTCAATAGGCATCAATATTAAGTCTTTTACTTGAATTTTTAAAAAAAGCCAACCCCACAAGTTCAGGGTGAAGCTCGTCTGAAAATGATCTGGGGGTCTTGGAAATCCACAAGTCCTGTGTGTGCCAAGGTATGACTTGGCAGCCTAAGGCTCATGGGATCCTCAGTAGGGGCACAGTGTCCAGCACCAGGGTGCTGGTGGTGGTCCCCTGTGTTTTTCTGTGGTCTGACCACATCTGGAGGAACATCTCCCATTCCGTGTGCCACGTCTTAGCAGAGGCATCGACAAATAGGAGCATGCCCAGGGGTAGGTCACCAGGCTGGAAACTGAGAGAAGGGATGAAAGATCTTTAGCCCAGAGGAGACATGGGAAGGCTTGTCATGTGGAAGACAAGACAAACTGACAGGGCAGAATGAAGAGCTAGCTATGGGGGCTATGGGTAGCAGAGCTCCTGTAGGAAGACCTTGGCTCATCTGAAGAATGTCTTGACAAGTACTTGGGATGGGCTGCTTCATAAGGTGGCAGATCGGTGGTGTAGTGGACAGAACACCAGGCTTGGAGTCAGGAAGACCTGAGTTCAAATCCAGCCTCAGACACTGGCTGTGTGACTGGACAAGTCACTTCACCCTGTTTGCCTCAGTTTCCTCATCTGTCAAATGAGCTGGAGAAGGAAATGGCAAATCGCTCCAGTGTTTCTGCCAAGAAAACTGCAAAGGGGGTCACAGGAGAGTTGGACACGATTGAAATGACTGAAAAACAGAAAGATTCATAAGGAAATGAGCTCGCTATCACTGGAGGTATTTGAGCCAAGGGCACAGAACCTCTTGTCGGGGATGTTGAAGAAAGGATTAGTGTTTAGGAACAAGCTAGACTGGATGCCTTCTGAGGTCTTTTCAACTCTGGATAACCAGAATACAAGATCTGTGCTTCGATGTTATATGGTGGGATTCTGTCATGCTCTCCCTTGCCTCTTCTCCAGCCCCCCCACCCCAGTCCCTCACCCCTTCCCTGTGCCCCTATCCCTACCTGTATTCATGGAAGTCACCGCCTCCAGGCAGGCCTCTTGGCCTGGGCCACAGGCCACAATGGGCATCGGGAGGCCAGAGAGATCAAAAGGACCAGTGAAGGAACGCTCAAAACTGTAGCACTCAAGAGCCCATGTGACTGTGGAAACAAAGGATAGGCAAGAGAGTGTGGGAGGTGAAGGAGATGGCATCGCCCTGCTGAGCCCCCGGTCGACATGGGGGGCATTGCCATTCTGGCTGCGGGATTCCCTGCCAGGTTATGTCCCATCCCTGATCTTATCTCCTTGCCTAATTCTGAGAAGGAACTGGCCACGCCAGCTCACCCAGTCTTTTCTCTCCTTCCCTTTTCTTAAGCTTTCCTTCCCTCTCTTCATTTAGACTGATGGCAAATGCCTTTCTTCCTTCAGGAAGCCCTCTGGGATTTCAAACAAGAGAGATGATGAGTCACTTTCCTATTCCCCTACCTCATCCACATCTTTGTCACACTCATCCCTAGTCTTTGGTTGCATCTCATGCCTGCTTTTTAGGGGGCAACAGAGAGAAGGGATAAATGAAGAGCAGTATAGCGCAGTGCAGATATACAGTGTATATATATATACACACATGCACACACTTTCATTTATATATATATATATATATATATATACATATATATGGTGAGAGAGAGAGAGAGAGAGAGAGAGAGAGAGAGAGAGAGAGAGAGAGAGAGAAAGAGAGAAGGATAGTACAGCATAGCACAGTGAAAAGAGCCCTGGCTCTGGGTCAGAGGCCTTGAGTTCCAATTCTGTCTTCGAAATTTTCTGTTTGGCCTAAATAAAGTCCCTGTGCCTCAGTTTCCTTGCCTGTAAAATGAAGGAGCTGGGCTATATGGCCTTGGAGTTCCCTTCCAGCTCTGAATGTTTGATCCTATGAACTGGTTCAAGTAGCTTCAGAGTCTGAGGTGAGGCCCAGGGGCTGGGACACAATGGTATGTGCTCATCCCCCTTCTCCCAGTAGAGATGCAGACACAGAATCCGAGATGATTCAGAAGACGGAGACAAACACGAAAGCAGAGGTATAAACAGTGAAAGAGTCCGAGGCTCAGACATCCTGAACACTGAGCCACAGAGGGAGCACAGAGACAGAGACATCAGAGAGGTGGGGACAAAGATTTGGAGTAATTGCAGAGATATCAGGGAGGCTCACAGGTCAAGAGGTAGGAGACACAGACTCAGAGATGAGGAGCCATGGAGCCCAGGAAGGGCTCATCTCAGGCACAGGGAGCTGCTCCCTCCCTCCCCTTTCATCCCATCTTTCCCTCCCAGCCAGGCACAAACAGGCTGGCAGGGGGACTGAGGATCTCGAAGGGCACAGGGACAGAGCCCTCCCCTCCTGCCCCACTGACTTCTTGGCTGTGCATTTCTCCATCACCATGTCAACCAGAGAAGAAACTCAGGAGCCCTCCCTCCCTGCCTGGTCCCCTCAAAAAGCCTGGCCCCATCGTGACTGGAGGAGAAGAGGAGGAGGGATGAGGTTGAAGAGAGAATGGAGAAGAGGAAAACGGAACTCCCTCTTGCTCCCCTGCCCCTGCCTCTCCAGGACCCTAAAGTGCTGACCTCTGCCCACTCCTCCCTCCACCTCTACCCCAAGCAGTTCAATACCCGACAGGGTCCCGAAGAAGCTGAGTAGAGACCAGAGAAGGATCATGTTGATGGAGAGGCCGGCAGTGGGCTGTCCCGAGTGCCACTTCAGGTGTGTGAGCAGGTTCTTCTCCTGCTTCCTGCCTCCTTTATCCTCCGCCCTTCCCCTCCCCTCCCCCTTCACTCCCAGGGCTGGGCTTCTCCAGGGGTGCTCCGAGGGCGAGGTTTGTTTGGTACCTTGGGACCTTGGCCTCTGAGCAAGCCTGAATAGCCACAATGGGCAGAAAATGGTAGCTTGCATCCCTGAGGGGATCAAGGACTGGGGAGCAGCCCTACCTTTATGGGTCTCCCCTACCCATCCCAGGTATAAGATGATAATAAGTGACCCCCTCTGAATCTGCCCCCAAGTAGGGGCAAGGGGGGTCCCTATTGCCTAACTAGTCTCTTCTCTGCTTTCCAAAACTTGCGGCCCCCTCCCCAAGGCCTCCTCCCATTCTTAGTCTCTGACTCTCCCTCCCTCCATCCCTGTCTCTGTCTCCTTTTCTGTTTCCCTTCCTGACATCTCCCTTTTCTTTTTCTCCCTTTTTTCTCTCTGTCTCCTCCTCCACTGTGTCTGGAGAGAAGAAAGCCCCGTTCAACCATGTTCCTAGGTAATCCTCATGGATACACCTGAGGTCATACATATGACATTTCACTGGGCACCTCCCTCCTTGTCCCATCAGCACAGCCTCCCAGATAGCAGCTACATCATGGTCTTTGGTACCCTCCTGAGGTTCTACCTCCTCCAAGAAGGCCTCCATCATCATTAGCTGATCCAAGGCACTCTTCTCTGTGTGCCCCATCTCCTGGAGGAATGTGGCTCAGGGCTGGCTGCCCTGAAGTCAGTGCAGGTGAGGATTTCAGGACCCACATACCTGGATCCCTGGCTCAGGACATTGGCTGCTGGGGAACCCAGGCACAATTGTGTGAGGGCATTTATGTCGCCCACCTCACTGTCTGCCGCTAGGTACCTCCCGTTCCTGTCTGGGATCCTTGGGTGGGGTCATGATGGAGGAGAGAGGCCTCCCAATTCACAAGGGCTCCTGTCACTATCTGGGACCTCCCTGCTTTTGGAGGGGTTGGAGCTGAGGCCAGAGTCACCATGTAGCGGGATGGCTGTTCTCAGGGGCTCTACCAGGACCAAGTAGGGGACTCTAAGGGAGATCTAAGGAGGCAGCAGCAGGCTGGGGAATGAGATGCTGTGAACCTGCATTCTCACACCCATATGGCCATTCCTGACCTCTCTCCAAGCCCCAGTCCCATGTGTCTACCAACTTGTGGGGTGCCTAAAATCAACATGTCCCAAACAGAGCTCACCACTCAGTCTCCAAACCTGGCTCTCTTCCCAGAATTCCTGTTTCTCTTGATGGTACCACCTTCCTCCCAGACATTTGGGCTCCAGATCTCAGGGCCATCTTCTGTTCTTCCTTCTCCCTCCCATAGTAAATCAGTATGTTCACCCTCTCACCCCTCTCCCATTCATTCCCTTCTCTCCACTCCTGGGGCCACAGCCCGAGCTCAAGCCTTCGTCACTCCTTGACTAGACTCATAACCATAGGCCCCTAACTTGCATCCACGCTCCTTTCTTAGAGCCTCTGAAGGCACAGGTTTGACCCTGTTGGGCCTTTAGACAACAGCCCTCAACAGCTCCCAGTGGTCTCTAGGGTAAAACAGCAGCTCCTCAGTCTGGACTGTAACGCTTTTCACAATTGGACCGCCATCTGCCTTTCCAGTGGTATGTTTTATGGCTCACTTCAGGTACTCCATGTTCCACCCAGACAGGATGATCGGCATTCTCTGATCTGGTCTTGCTTTCTCCCACCTCCGTGCATTTGGGAAGGCTGACTCATCTGCTGGGAACACCCGCTCTCATCATCACTGGACATTGAGAGCTTCTCTTCCTTCGAGGCTCAGCTCAAAATGCGACTTTGTGCCAGAGACTTTCCCTCCTCACCCAGATGAAAGAAGGGATCTCTCTGCCCTCACATTTTCCAAGCTCCTTTGCCTAGTGGCAGCTGGGTGGCATCATGGATGCAAGAGAGTTCAGGTGTTGTCTTAGATGACATCATTTGTCACAAATCAAATCACTTCACTCCTGTTGCCTCAGCTTCCCCATCTTTAAAATGGGGATGATGACAGCACCTACCTCACAGGGCTGTTGTAAGGGTCAAATGAGATAACGTATGTAAAGTGTTATCTAAGCGCCAGCTCTTATTTTCGTCCGGATCTCTTTTTTTTTTCACCCATCATACTATTCATCGTATACTTATCTATCGATATGTCTGTTCCTCCCAGGAGAACATAAGCTCCTTGAAGGCAGTGATTATGGGCATTTTAAAGCTCCTTGTGTAACCCAACTCCCAAAGCCCCTTGGCATGTGGACATCCTGGTCCTCCAAGCACACACTATCTCCACCTCAGTGCTGGGAGCTCTGGTCTCTGGTGCATGTGTGCACCTACTTGTCTCTGTCTTTCCCAGTTAGAATGGAAGCTCCTTGAGGGAAGGGACTAGTTGTTGTTTTTTTTTTCTGCTTGTGCTTATATTCTCAGTACTTAGCACAGTGCCCAGCACAAAGTAAGGGCCTAATAAAGGTTTGTTTACTTCTGAATGAAGTGTAAGCAGGGAAGCTTCTAGGGACTGGGCAGGGCTGGAGAACTGGTGGAGTAGCCTTTGGGCTTTAGGACATTTAGAAATTAACCAAATGCTATTTAAATATTAGCCAATGTTTATGATAATCCATAGATCCAGTGACAATGTACACACCTAGCACACACTGTGTAAGCCAAGACCCAAGCAGCTCTGATCTTGTGGGCTGCCCAGCAGACCAGCCACTGGGCAGAAGAGAAATGAGTAGTCCAGGTCCTCTTTTTCGACAGCTGACTTTCATCATGACACTCTCCTGCTCCCTGAATGCTGGCGGAGTGCCTCCCTCTGGGGCTGGTCTCCAGTTTGTCTTGTGCCTGTCCTTAGGTGGTGGCATGTGGTCCCCCTATTAGACTGGGAGCTCCTCGAGGGCGGGGATTGGTTTTTGTCTCTTTTTGTATTCCTAGCACGTAGCACAGTACATGGCACATAGTAGGTGCTTAATAAATGTCTGTTGACTTGACTGGAGCTGCTTCTTCTCTTCTGACCCAAAGATCATAGATAGGGCCATAAACACAGAGCTGAAGGGACCTTAGAGTCATCAAGCCCAGCCCCCTCATTTGACAGAGGGGGGAAACCAAGTCCCAGGGAAATCAGTGACCTGCCAAAGATCATACGGATTGGAGGACCAGCCTCAACGGGGAGTTGTGGCTTCTCTTGGACTCAGGACAGGCTGCCCAGCACAGCTGCAGCCAGAGGTGGCTGAGGCTTCTGAGGAGGACCAGATGGTGCCTGGAGGCAGGGCAGCCTCTTTTCTTTCTCACTTCCCTTAGGGCCCCAAGGAGGGAAAGGCCTGGGTCCAGACCTCCATTCTTCCTGGCCCTGGCCTGGCCAGACACTCTAACCCTTGGCAGAAGCCAAGCAGTGCCTTCCTCGCTCCTTTTTTTTCCCAGGTATTACTAATGCCCAGTCTGAGACCCCCCAAATCTGGGTCACGTCAGAGTCTGGGCACAAAGAGATATCAGCCTTAGGGCAAGGGAAGCAGCTCACAAGGAGTTCCCTGCCCCTTTGTGAGAGGCTTGCACGTTTACTCATTCAATCATTTGACAAATGTTTTGTCGTTTCCCCCCTTCATCCTCCCCCTCCCTGAAGAATCTTCAGGGCCCTCTTTAGCTGGGGTCTAATTTTCTAACATCCAGTTTGTGAATCTGTGCTCCTCAGGCCACAGATCTCAAAGCACCTATGCAGAGCTGCCTGGGATTGCTCAAAGGTTTACAGGATTTGGAGATGAAAGGGACCTCAGAATGATTTAGTACAAGACAGTAATTTTACAAGGAATTAAACTGAGACCTAGAGA